TTGTTATTTGTAGTTACGTTAAAATAAACTAGGGACAATGAATAATTTTTCTCAAAATGAAATGGCTGATATGATTTTCATTCTTGGAGAGTGCTCTAGAAATTCTTTGTTAGCGAATAGAATTTATAAAGCAAGATATCCTGACCGAGAACGCCATCCGAGGGAAGAATCTTTTAAAGTGATTTTGGAAAGATTTACAGCAACTGGGAATGTTTATTGTTTGTTATCCTCAAAATCAGAAAAGGGTGAAATCTGTCTTAAACGAAGAAAATGATTTTAGTATTTTAAAATCTGGTGTTCTAAATTCAAACTTGTACATGAATTTCCTAAACATTAATTTATTAGAACTCCTTGAAGATGTTCCACTTGCTCAAATCAGAGATATGTTTATGAACAAGATGGGGCACCTCCTCACCGTGCCCGTCATGTAACTGCGTGGCTTAGTGGATTCACATGTGCATAGAACAAGGCATCATTTTGAACATTTATTATAATAATTTTTTCTTTTTAATTTTCGTTCTGTTTAAAAATTCTAGTTGGTAAGTGTTAAGTAATAATTTATAGTCAAGGTTTATAATAATTTGAATCGCTTATTGTTTAGGTATGTTCCACGGCCTACTAGCCACTTGTTAATAACTTTGTTTAAAAAATCACCAAATTAGTAAGAAAATGCGAAATTAAAAGAAAACTATCAAATATAGATAGGTACCGATAACTTTATATCGTTAGAAAGCGGATGAACTTTCGTATTTAAAAAAATAAGAAAATGTGAGGGATTGCATTTGAAAAAATCAAGTTATCTATGAACATAATTTCCTACATTGAAAAATCGATTTTGAAAAAAATGCGTATATGATCCAAGATCCAAGAATGTACCTATATTTGCAGATAACCAGTGATTATTAATAAGTAAGTGTGAAAGAAACGTGAACGCAGTGGAAGGTGACGGAGGCGTAAACGAAGAGGGTCTGAATAAAGGACGCGTAGAGAAATCCAACGAAAGAGCCGTTGATAAAGCACTCGTGATTGAAAATGTGGAAGAAAGATGGGAAGGAGCATACATGAAATGGTATAACGGAAAATGAACTTGAAGAAAGGAGTAACTAGGAGTCTGAATACGGCGTAAAAAAAGTTGTGACAAGTAGAGGAAAGAAATAAATGTCAAGCTCAAGAAGGCTTTGTGAGGCGCCGTAAGAACAAAAATTAAAAATAAGGAGTGAAAGAATCACGAGAGGAAAATAAAGTAGATGTAGGTAAGTGGTAAAACGCAGAGAACAAAGAGGTGTTAATAAACGTTGAACTTCAGGAAGTAAAATAAGCGAAAAATATTCGAAAGGATGTAGCGATAAAATCCTAAAATGGATGTGAAGTAATCGTGAAGCAGAGGTTTACGAATTTTCAAATTGTGAAGTATGTGTGAAGCAAGTGGAAAATAATGAACTAATTGTACGTGTGATATTGCCGTAAACGAGTCTTGAAGCAGGCGTAAAGAGAACCCGAAGCGGGAAAAGTACGGAGACGTTATGTTTCGTAAAACTTTGCTGTCATGAACAAGGGTTTTTGCATAGCATAAAATGTTCAAGGATGGCAGAGAAGAGGTTGAAGATGATTACCGAGCTAGACGACCCTCAACAAATCGAAAATTTAATAAAAACTCGCGATCTTTTGAAGAGTGATTGTTCCCTAAGTGTGCGACTGATTGTGTAAGACTAAGAACCCAGTTTGCCTAAAACAAGATATTGATAGGAGATTTGAACATGGCAAAAGTGTGTCAAAAGTTCTGATAGATGAACGTGTGGTTGTTTCAGAAGAAATGGTTGAACGTTAGCAAGAGAGCCCATATATTTTAAGTGGCGCACCAACCAGTCTACAAGGACGAAGTAAGCTCATTGTTTTTTCGCCGCCAAAGGATTAGTACACAGGGCGTTGTACCTGCTGGTCAAACTGATAATGGAAATTTTTACGCAGAAGTCAATGCACCCAGTTACACCTCGCGGGCCAAGTTTTGGATCGAAACAACTGCGCAATTGTACCGCACAGCCCCGACCTCAATCCCAGTTTTGTTCCTATACACATCAAGAGATCCAAAAGGACCGTTAATATCTCTGCAACATTATCTCTATCAGAGTACAAATTCCAAGGTTTTTCTTTTGCTTTACAAATTTACGACAATTTCTTTAACAAAAAAATTTCTTGGCAAGCGGTGGAGACTGGCTTATACCAACTGGGTGCTCTTTGCTTATACTCAGCCTCGGTATAGTTGATGAATGAATATGAAAATCATTTCCTTCGGATCAAATTTCTGTCCCTTTTCATTGGGAGTATCTTTTCATCCACAAACTTTCAAATGTTTCACATTTGGTTTCCGCCCCGACCAAACTTCTTCAGGTGTTTTTGTCTTCAATCTTGAATCAGCGTGCACTTGCTCGTTCTATTAATGCCTACTCTTCCTTTCTACCAGGCCATTCTGCTCAGGAATATATGGTGCAGACTTCTGATGAATAATGCCACTGAAATCTGTACTTTCGTCTACTTTTCGTTTTTCTGCCATAATCTTGGTGTTCAATTTGGTTTGAAACCAAACTTTTTCATTTCAAGAAATACCCAAACACTTTTCTGGAGAAGTCACAAGCAAATACCTTGAACCGTTCCATGAAATATCCTACATGGAACCGCAATCACTACCACGAACCAGTTTAAGTAAATATGTTGCTCTTGAACCAAAATTATTAAATGGCAAACGAGGAATCTTACCCAATAAACATGCAGTGCACTCAGAAATATTCAAAGTGGCATGATCGATTCCATTAATAAGTTGTTCAGCTGTGACAAGGATGGTCTAAATGCTTGTGAATCTCAGGCAAATGGAGAACTTCCTTCAATTATCGATGAATTGCTCCATTCTTGGAATTATAAGGATGCAATAATTAAACTTGAATGTAGCAGTATACTTATAATTATTATAAGTATACTGCTACATTCAAGTTTAATTATTGCATCCTTATAATTCCAAGAATGGAGCAATTCATCGATAATGTCAACAACATGGAACTATCCAGGAAGCTCCTACAGCTGAAATACATGCTACTTCACAAATGTAATTTCAGCTAGGTCTGACGATGGCCTAGGGCCGAAATCGATTACCTAAAGAAAACATTTAACAATTATAAGTATACTGCTACATTCAACTTCCTTCAAGTTAGACTTTTGTTCGTATTATTGACGCTCACATCCAAATTGACATTTCCAACAAATTATCCTTTGACTGTAGAGTTATTTGCTGTTATCATTTCAAAACTTGGACATTCCTGAACATTCTTGAAGAGATTAAGGTCCTTGCACATGTGCGAAGATGCGCGAATATCAAAGATTCATTCTTGTTCTGGACACTTCACCGATATAGCACAAAACATGCTCTTCATTGTCATTCGTTTTCTTCTTGCCGAGCTTTATCTTAGGACAGTTGAACTTGATATGTCCGAATTCATGACATCTATAACACTTTACAGTCTTCGTAAAGTGCTGTATAAGGTTAAGTGGCCGCAGCCTTTCAGGAAATAACCAAAATCTAATCTTTTGGAGCCGTGAGGTAAAGTTATTAAACCGATTGAGCTAGCCGTATATAAAAATTAATAGACATCAATAACATTGGTTGAACCCTGATTTAAATTTACCATAAACATAAATGTAAAAGATATAATGTTTTAGTTTAGAAGTAGTGTGATTTTTCTCCATTGTGTTTTCTCATTTGTTATCGTTCTAGTTCGTTCTTGGGAGGATGTTAATTTTGGGTGTTACCCCGTTGGGCTGCATGAAAACTTGGTTTATTTTTGCATGTGTGCAATGTAATCATGGAAAACGTCCGACAACCTAGAAACAAGAGCTAAAGTCATGCTTATTCCGATTGTGCTTGAGGAAGGCATAAAGGCATAACCGATCAAGGAATAAGAGTTTTCAGTGAGATCCCAACGAGATACATCCCTGCCGAAGGACAATTTGGTTAGAAGTCGGTGAGGATTTTATAGAACGACAGTGAGAAAGACAGTCTGAAGTGCAATTGGAAAACGGGACGAAGTCGAAGCTTAGAATATCTTGAAACCTCTGAAACATGCGGCGGAGAATTAAGGTTCCGGAAAAAAGTCAACTAACAACAAATTAATACAAAAACTTCCATACATTTTCAGCAAATAATGTTTTCTTTGGGGCTGGTTGTTGTAAATTATAAATTTAATTCGAGTCCACTGCCTTGCTCTTCGAAATCTACTGGGAAGCTGTAATATAGACTCCACTGGCAATTAGAAAGTTTTAACTTTTTGACATAAAACTGTGAAAATACGGTGTTAGCCTTGAAGTGACGTTAATAGTGGTAGAGGTGAAATGGACCAGCATTCTCCCAAATATGATTTATAATAATAATTGTGGTGTTGAACAAATTTTCCACATAGGTACCTTTTGATAGGATTATTATTTGCAATAAGCTAACCGCCAGGCCGGTGCTTTATATACCACAATTCGCAAACGGTTAAATTTTTAAATTAAAAATCCAATGTCGAATGTAATCTGAACAGCCGCAGGGCTGTCGATTACTTGTCACTAAATCAATGTAAAAGTAATTGGTTGAAAGGTTGATTAACATATTCCCTGTCCCCTATAATTAAAATAGGCCGAAACGCTTTATTCTTTGCAAAGAAAACTCATTCTCAGTCTCTTTACCATAACAATTAGTTACAATCTAATTCGGTACGTTTCTTATAAATCATTTTCATTGGGGAGCGCAAAGATAAAACGATAAGTTAAATTGTTTCTCGACCATTGGTTTTTTAAACAAACTTTTTGGAAAGAATGTAAAAGTCGGAAACTTCCTTAACGTTTCGAACTTTTTAAACTTCTGTTTGTACTTCTAACCGGCGGAAAAAAATTTGGCAAACTTTGGCGCAAACCTTCTACGTATAGTTTATTATTTCTTAATTCATGCTAATTAACGAAAAGTAGTCTCTTACCGTGTAGATAACTGTAGAAATAGTGTTATTACCCATGTAGTTTCCAACCAAAAAACCAGCACGGCAGAGGCTCTGAAAACGGAAAAATTGCAATTTAATTATTGGTATGGAGGTGACGTAGTGAAATTATTAAAGATTTTCGATTAAATTCATTCCAATTCAAAGCACGGAAACATTATTTGTTTTCTAAATCAGAAACGTGAGTTGCTCATGAATAAGTGTTTCCAGTATCGGTACATCCGTCCAACGCATTTTAGAGAGGTGTTTCACAATGGTTTCTCGAAGTTTAGGTGCGTTGAGCGTTGGGTGAAGGCTCCTATTTAATTATATTACAATTTGCGCATAGTTTATGAAAAGATGCAATCCATTTTATTGAGCTATAAGCAGCTCCTATTTGAAACTTATCTTGTTTGTGTACATTGTGTTCGGATGTTTATAAGGCCCATAAATTCCATAGATACCTTGTTGATACATTTGGTTTATTGAATACTTTTAATAGAGCACATCAGGAAACCAATAGAACCAAAGCAAAATTGGCAGCTTAATGAATTTAAAGGAAAGGGGACTTTCACTTATTCAAATCCAAAATGTAACCTTCTATTTTTTAGAGTAATTTATTAAAATAGCGCTTTTAGTTAAGAACCCAGTATATAATTTAACACCGTGGTTAAGAGATCGCATTGGGGAATAACAAAATTCCCCTGGACATTCAGGTCGAGGCGGTTCTCCCATGGAAAGCATTCTTATGATCACAGAGACATCAATTTTTCCTTCTTTTCAAAGGAATGATTAATTATTGAGTTGCAATCGCTTCAGAGAATTGTATATACAGGGTGGAAATGTCTGTAACACTGCATATGTTCAAAACAATATTTTTTAGGAAGTTTTTATGGATGATAGTTTGCTACCAATCTACCTACGTACTTTAAATTTGTCGTCACCGGCGTACTTCCGCATGGTCAAAAGGGCATATTTTGTTTAAATAGAAATTGCGGTTCGACTGTTATATCTGATGGAAAGTTATATATCCAACCTCACTCAGTGTACTAGACTTGATGGAAATGTGTCTACTTCTCTTCAGTTATGGCGGGTGTACCACATGGATCTGTCTTAGCCATTGTTGTAGATCAACTGTACCAGTAAAATACAAGTGTGTCACCTGTATGCGGATGACACGCAGTTATTCTATACATTTCCAGCTCATCAAATTGGGGATACGAATGAAGATTTCTAGATAGGTAGGTTGTCTGGTAACTAAACCAATGGAACGCTTGCATTTCGAAGGCGGGAATACGTCATCCAGGCAACAATGCTAATAAAAAGGATAAGAATTCAGTTTCCGCAGTAGATTTTTGTATTTTTTTGGGTACATGTATATAAGGGTGGTTGCTAATGAACAATTTAAACTTGCCGCGGTTTTCTATATTCACTTTGATAAAAAATCCGATACAACTGAATGCCGAACGATCCTCGAGATCTTCACACATACATCATTTTTACAATACACCTTAAGGGGTTGTTTCTGTCGCACCAGATCAGCATATCTTGTAAAACAAATTTTTTGAATCGGTATTAGTTTTACTTTTATTCGACGTGCCTAAATACAAAATTTCATTTAAATATCTTAACAAATAAAATAAATTGGGATTGCGCAAATGCAAAAGTTGGAATGCGCATGAGCAATATTTTTTTTGCATCTGCCTGAGATTTAAGAATTATTTACTAACAAAGAAAACCGGACATTCATATGTTCTTTGTAACAAGAATGATAAAAGAAACCCTTTTTTGAGGTTTGGGCAGTTATTGGTCTGTAACTTTTTGCCCCGTTGGTCTACGTAGCCAAAAAAACAATAGCGACCTTTCTTATATCCTGAAGAACGTGCATATCAATTTTCATAGCAAAGTTTCTACACAAAGTTATCGTGCACACGGGCAGACAGGCGGACGGACAGACAGCAATACAAAACTATAAACGATCTCGAGGATCGTTAATAATACAATTTTAGTTAGTTATTGCGCAAAACTAATGCGTATGCACAGATATAGATGTAAATTTGATGTTCAACTATTAGCATGTGAAACGGTTAAGTTAAAGCGGCCAGAAAAGTTAAAATTTTAGTTTTTACCTGATTGGTGTGAGTTTCCTTTGGTCCTTCACCACCACATTCATTGTTCAATAATTAATATAACAAGTTTTCGCCGATCTAAAGGTAAGATTAGATTTACACTAAGATACAGTCCGTTCATTTACAGTGGTTCTTATATTGGAAATCTCGGAAGTTTATCGATTTCCACCTTTGAAATTAATCAGTGTAGTATTGAAAAAATAAGTGTGGTGCGAGGACTTCTATGATATATGTAGGTGCTATTCATTCACAAACAAAGCAATTAGTACCTAAGTAAATGAATTGAAATACCTCTTTTCTTTCGTTTGTAATTTGTTGAGCTGGATTTCTTTTGAAATGACTACTTTAGTCATAGATAAATACCATTACCGTTACCTAGAAGTATTCAGGCTTGCATTAATCATTTAAATCTGAAAATTTACTTGCCAACATAGGTAGTTTTTTATGATCTGTCGAAAGAAAATATTATCATGATTTTTCCACTTCCAGTTCTACCGGATGTCTATCGCAACTTTCTTATTTTAAATAAAAACACCCTGTATTTTATTACATTTTCGGAATCTACATGAAAATCTACGTCGTTTGATACCACATTTCCCTATACTCAGCATCAAAGGTTTTCAAGTAATTTAAGATTTTCCAAATTCAAAAATGGACAGTACTGACTTCATTCTACGTGACAATGATTTAAATTTTGATCGCCCTTTTACAGGGTGTTTTAAAACTAATGGTCAACTTTATTAATACATGCAGATACATGCTTTATTTTTTTGCACTTTCAAATGTCGAAAAAAATTCTACAGCAATTTAGTATTACGTTCCGTTTACCTATCTGTTATGCTTTCCGTTATGTTTTAGATTTTCTAAAATTGTGACCCTTATGCATAATTTTCTTAGAAAGCTTTGAAACAACGTTAGAAGACTTGTCAGACCTTTTTATAGTTATAGTTGATAGTGATGGTAGATGAATAAAAAGTAAAATAAAGAAGACATAATAAACAGAAACAGGTAATGATAACAAACGACAATACAAAAAAACCAACATCAATTGAGGCTTTGTTCTATGTGGCCACCGTTTTTTTCAATACATAATAGGATCATCCGATTAATTCCGTTGGTAGTCGTCTCTCTAATGTCTACTACATCCATTTCATCAAAAGCTCTTCTCTGTCTAACTTCCAGTTCTTCACGAAAAGCAACTGGTGTGAAGTAAATGTTGTCTTTATATGACCCCACACAAAAAACCCAATGGCGTTATATCTGATAAGTTCTAGGAGGCCAACGCCACTATCTTCAAAAATGTTCGTCAAAGATATATAAGCATCATGGATAGAATGAGTCCGCGCTTCGTCATGTTGAAACCAGTTGTTTTCTTCATGTAAATTCTCAAATGCTGGTAAAATAACATATACTAACGCATTCTTCTTTCAAGGCCTCCGTGCATAACGGTCACAATTTTTGAAAATCTATAATAAAACGGAGAGCATAACAGAATGATATGTGTAGGGAATGTAATACTAGGTCACTGCAGAATTTTTTTGACATTTGAAAGTGCAAAAAAATAAAGCATGTTTCGTTTGAAAAAATCAACTTTTTAAGGTTTGAAGTTAAATAAAGTTGACCATTAGTTTTAAAACACCCTATAGAAGGGCGAACAAAATTTTAATCATTGTCACGCAGCATCAAGTGAGTACTGCCGATTTTGGAATACTTTTTGAAATTGAAGTCATAGATACAGGACTCAAAAGGATAACAGCCAAACATCAAAAATGTTCAAAATCTTGAATAACTTGAAAACCTTTGATGCTGCATATAGGGAAATTGGTATCAAACGGCGTAAATTTTCATGTAGATTTCGAAAATACAGGGTGTTCTATTTAAAATAAGAAGTTGCTATCGACATGCGATAGAACCAGAAGTGAAACGATCATTCTTTCGATAGGTCAGGAAAAACTATGTTGGTGTATACATTGTCAGATTTAATTGATCAATGAAAGCCTGAATACTATTAGGTATCGGTCTGCGTGACACGGCCTGTAATACTTGGTGTTATTACGGAAGTAATATCCACAAGAATCTTACCATTATAAACTTCTAATCAATTAAACCAGTAAAGAAATACATTAAATTACATTATTATCGTTGAGTGATTAATTACTCAATGTTATTATCTAATTATAGGAAGGTGTTAATGACGCCGGACAAAGCCCAAGGTGGTGAATTCCATTGCAGATAACAAAGAATAGCCTAATTTCTATGGCTATTGTTAGAAAAATGAAAGGATTAATTCGCAATTGCCAGACAATTTCGCCGGCGGGCGTATGGTATAATTTAAGTTGCTTAACTGTGCTTTCAATTGGTGAAATACTTCATGATGTCATCAAAACATTTTCCCCAATTTTTGTTCTTAATTTAAGGGATGAAAAAGATATATCTATGTACAATCATACAATTTTGTTAGCTGGTTGTAAATCGCCAAAACCCATGTCTGTATGTTTTATAGAGGCGCCGTTATCTTAAAGATAAGCTTTATCAATTGTACTAGTTATTTCCAAAATGATGGCAAACTTCAAAATTTGGTTTACGCACAATCATTCTTTTGGTTAATACCTACAATATTTGACGCCGACCCTTTTTTTAAATGCTATTATAAAATCAAAATCTTAAAGAAATGATTCGCTGTTTTGCGGATAGTTCAACATTCACTGCAGAGCCGCCTTAAAAGGGTGCTTTTTGACTTTTCGCCATTCCTTTTTGGCTTGTCGTAGGGAGCAATTGCCCCCTTTGCCCCCTGCTGAATGCGCCACTACGCCAAAATAAGAACCACCCTAATGTATAAATACCTAGACTTTGGGAATTAAAACTCTAGACACTCTTTAGCGTGCGACGCTAAATAAATAATGCTGTTGCGTTTTACGGAATATATTTACAAAATGGTAGCCGAAGTGCTCGCGGCGAGTGCTGCCGTCGGAGTGAGCACGGGGTATTAACTACCTAAACTGGCTAATAGAATACTATCTCCTACATCAAAATGCACTGAAGTCCCTTAGATCTCACACGAGGACTTAATTTTTCTTAATTATTGGCATGTTTGCAAATGTAAGTGCTCCTTCGCAAAATCAATTATCTTTAGTAATGCGAGTAAGGCACACATTATTGTTAGAGGTTATGTAAATAAGGCATACACTTAATGTGATATGCAACAATTCTACTTTCCATCTTGAAGAAGCGAAAATTTGGAAATTCAATTTTCTAAATAGATCCGCCATCTCTGCATTCATTAATCCTACAACAAAAATGAGAGTTTGCAGTTATATTCGTATTTTTATATCTAAAATTAAAAGTTTTTGTAGCAAAAGGAATGAAACAGACAAATTCCTTAGTTATGAGACGACTTTTGTAACAGGTCATCCTTTTTCGTTTCAAAAATTTGGTTTTGAATTTGTATTTTTTCAACGTAGGAAATAAAAACATACCCGCTTCATAGCGGACGAGAATGAAAGTATGTCTGGAAACAAAATATTATTTGGTAAAGATGAATATCAAATTCAGCATTGATACGTTATTACGAGACAGGTGTTGCCTTTTTATAAGGCAAACCAATATTTTAAGTCAAATAACTTGGAAAGAAAAATGGAACTTGATCGCCTTTGTTTTTACGTAACATATTCAATCAACTAAGTTCACATCCGTATTTATTCGAGTTCAATTAAACAAGAGCATTAGAATTTGAATTTCAGGAGGAGATAAAAAGTCAAACATCCGCAAAGTAAGAGGTACAAAAACATTTTTATTACTGAACTAGCCGTGGGACAAA